ATTAAGTCCAGGCGAAAGGCGTGGCTAGTCTGGTCACGTGAAAAGCGACAGCAGCGCCACGGCGTTTCAGAGGGTAGCCTAAAATTCTCCTGCAGTGGCCACAGGCTAGCTAAAACCACGTTTTGAAGCTTGCTTCATACATGTGCAGTGCTGCTGCTAACGAAATTCAAAAACTGGTGTAATTTATGTTGTGCATAATTTTGAGTTTCTGAGTTCCATCGTTCACTCTCAAGTTTAAATCGCAAGCAGTAACAAACATCGGCTTTCCTGTTAAACCAATAATCTGCTGCTAGCTTAACACACCAGTAGTCTAATAATGGCTATGATTTGGTTGCCTTGGACAACATCTGCTAGTGAATTACGTGACACGCTGTACGAAATTCCCGACAACGTTCTTGTTGATTTATGGAATCGCTTGCGCCCAGAACTGACTTTATGGCTGGGAAATGACAAGAGAAACATCAACGAAAAGGGGTATCGACTAGCTGCAACAGGATACATCCAGCAACTACGCATGTCGCAGGTACATATCCGCATATTGAAGCTACGATCTTTACCAAATTACACAGTAATTCATAAACAGCATTTTTTATTTCATTTATTGAACATTTGTTTTGAAAAAGCAATCACCCCAAAAATTACGTAATAGCTGGCCATGCACATTATGTTCTAATGAATAGGACTTTAGTAAACGATGTATTTTACAGAATGTATAAAATACTGTACATTGTAGGCCCATGATACTCTGCGGTTTAATGCTAAAGGACATTCAGAAATGAAGCCTATTACGTATAATTTGGGCTTGGAGCTACGCGTTGTCGGCAAGGAAGCGACTGAAGTTACTGCCTCTGAATGCTCCTGTCGTGCTAGCGGGGCTCTGGGAAAAAACGCGCTTTGTAAACATATATTTGCCATGCTATACGCCATCCGAATTGTCATCGACGGGGGCAGCGTTCCAGCCTGGCAATCAGCGCTGCCCGTTACGAGCATGGAACAGCAGTGGGGTGTGCCATCTCTTCGGTCGCTCACCAGAGAACTGCAGCCCGGGCGTGCAGATCTCTATGCTGCATTTATGAGACCGGATGCCCGCCACAAATGGAAACCTTCCATAGAAAGTCGAATTCATCCGAAATACCGTATAATTAGCACAGAAGAAATGAGTGAAATCCGATCCGTTCTGTCAAACACCACACTTTTCCCGAAACATGTTCTTCGTCTGATCGAACCAGCTTCAGTAAACTTGCGACTGCCAAGAGAACCAAGCCCGGATCTTTCTAACCCATATATCGGTGATTCATCTGCAAAGGTGTTGCCTTTAGCACTACCAGTTATTAGTCCGCTTGCTCGACCTTTCTCGCAGCAATATTTGATACAGTTGCCGAGACAATTAATGACGTTTTATAAGGACAGCGTTGAAAAAACGCATGAAGACTGCATCAAAATAGAAGGAACAACACGCTTACAGGCTAAGAGTTCAGACTGGCTTTACCATCGTTCTTTGCGCGTGACTTCTACCTATGCAAAGCGGATATGCACAGCAGGACAACTTCCTACGACCCGCAAATGTGACCGTTTTGAAAAACTGGCAAAAGGAATGGTCGCACCCAGTTCCATATCACATATACCTGCAGTCCGCCGCGGTAATGAGATGGAGCAAGAAGCAGCTGATGCTTTCTACAGTTTAACGTCTTCAAGCGATAAAGAAATAACTACTTTCAGAGTCGGCTTTTGTGTACATCCTGATGAACCGTGGATGGGAGCCTCGCCAGATCGGCTGGTCAAAGAAGTTGATATTGCAACAGGATCAACCAGTTGGGCCCTTTTGGAAATTAAAACCTTCGATGTCAAAAAAGCACCCTACGATTTGCCGTACGTTGCAGATGATGGAAACGGTAGATTTATTTTGAAAAGATCGCATGAGCACTACTTTCAGGTTCAAGTGGCAATGGCATGTGCTGGGCTAACCGAATGTTATTTTTTTGCATACTCTGGCCCCGCGAAGGATTACTTTTGTGAGAAGATCGCCTTTAATTCCGACAGTGTTAACTTTATTTTCGAACGCTGCGCAGAATTTTACTTCACGCAGTACTTGCAAGAGTTACAACGAATGAATGGTGTTAGCTAAGTGAGTACTAAACTTGCTACTGTTAGTGAGTAAAAAGAGTACTTCTACGGTAAATTGGCACTGAGAATATAACCCGCCGCCAGGGTTACATTCACTGTATAAAGTATGTAACATTTATAACAAATGGAAGTCAGAGCATCAGAAGTATTGAATATTAATCAGAAAACGTTGAAGAAAGTCATGAGCGCATTTCAACCGCAAATGTTACTTACATGGTGCACTGCTGTTATTTACAAACAGACATATATACTGAGTACACACAAAATTCGCATTTATGGGAGCGGATCGTAGTCATCTGGTATGCCATCCGGAAACTCCGACTTTATCAGGTCATTCAAACTAAGAATTCTGACTTCCTCAGCGCTTTCTTCGTGAACTAGATCATTTATTTCGGAATCCATCATATCCGGATCGGATTCTTCCCATGCACGTAATGGTGGCAAGAACTTGCACAAATTAAAAACCACCCTTACTTCGGTATCGATGCGTTGCAGATCACTGATGTAGAGCGGTCCGCGAATTTGATTGAACGTCTTAGCTCGGCCGATGGCATTTTCAATAACAATACGAACTCTTGCAATTTCTGCAGTATCTTTAAGCTTTTCACGGGACATGTTCTCATCTTTTCGAACGCTGGGAGGCACAATCCATTTAATACCTAGTTTTTGGGCTAATTCAGTCATCTGGAAACCGCGATCAGCCAAAACCACATCACCGAAACCCAATTTCAGGAATAGGTTAGATGCTTTAACAATCGCGGGATCCGAAATGGAGCCTTGGTAAGGATGGGACAAAAAACACATATTTCCATCAGCCTCCGAGCCGACCAAATATTTTATGGTATAACTCTTTTTATAGTTAGACCAACATTTGCGAGCAGCGTCAGGATTCTTTGGCTTTTGAATTTTGATTTCGAATCCGTCAATAATCATGGAAATTTTAGGAAAGAGAGCGGCTACTTTCGGGGGCAAAGGAAGCGGATCTATGCCATCATAAGGGTATTTTCTGAAGATGTTTACCATCCTTTCATCCATTACAAGAAGCCAGCAATTATAATAACGTCCAATAGTTCGTGCATCTACCCCGAAAATGGCGGCCAACACTTCGTAAGTCATACCCGTTCGTAACTTCATCAACGTCAAAAAATACTGATTAAAACCATCAAGCGCCATCGGCGCTCCGCCACGTGATCTGTCTGGATAGGGTACTTCTCCTGTTTGCTTGGTGTAAAGCAACGTATCTAGAAAACCCTCATTTTTTCCTGCAAAGACGGTTTCGTACAAAGTCAACAAAACGAGATAGGACGGCAGCCCAGTGAGATTCTGGATGGCTTTATCGCTGTCGGCAAACGTTTCGGCGCGAAATTCTTGCCGGGTCAATCGTTTGGTCAGCGCTTGCACACTTGCATTTGCCTCTTGAACTTCCAACAACAGCTCACCAATTCTCGTATTCTAAAAAAACGAAAAGACAGTTACCTGGAACAATCTTGGAAACTTGTAGCAATCGTAATCAGTTTTAAACCGATACAGCATCAGTAAGCTAAATAGAAGTATATCTTACAATACATCTTGCATTAAAGAAAGACGTTTTTATTTGTACGTTAGACCAACTTGCGCATATGCATGCACAAACGCACAATTAATCATTTTTTTGCTACTAGTCAGTACTTACTTTTTTAGCTTCCAAATAGCGCAGATCATTTTTCAGTTCAGTAATCTGTAGATCCTTTTGTTGGGACTCTTCCTGGAGACGTTTGAATGCATCTCGCAGTTGTTCGAGTTCGTCACGAAGCGCTTGAACATCCGCTGAACACACTTCCGTTTGCACACATGCCGCTAGTTTTCTTTTTTTCCGTGGCGGACCAGTGGAGATTTTGCCTGAGCGGTCTTTTGGGGTTGAACGTGAATGCGAAGGTTGACAGTTTGCTGGCTGAGAATTTACTGGTAGGCAGTTAAACTGCGATGGGATAGCCGTTTTCAGTAACAGCGCGCGCGTTGCGGGCTTTCCCTTTTTGGTTTTTGTCTGAAAATCAGATGGGAGAAAGTGAGTGCTGCAGACGCGGGATCCTGGACCAGGCTGCCAGCTGCTTTCACGTCGGATTCGATGCAGCCACGTTGAATAGCGCCAGTCGGTAGCTGACGGTAGTGTGAAAAAGGAAAGCCCTTCTGATCCCGGGCGGTTCGCGTAGTGCACGCACCGTGGAACACAGCATGTCACTCGGCCTTTCCCTTTTGCCTAAAAGTTGCGTAATATAATAATTCTGCTACACTGTATCAATATTTCGCAAGGGAAAATACGTTTAAAACAAAACTGCATTGTGAAAAAGCAGGTAGATACAGTAACACTAAATTTTTGCATTTAAAAACGGGGTTAAATTGCAGAAGGTGGGTTATACGAGTACGTGCATATATGAGCATGTGATGAACCATTATATGTGCGAAAACATAATACATGTTTCTGCAGTCCCATCTGCCAACGCGCACTATTAAAACATTACTATATGTTACTCTGTCATTTAGTAACTACTACACCTTACCGTCGAATAATCAGACGTTCCGTCTGTGTCCGACATTGGCTGTTGTTTGGCACCTGGCTCGGGTTCCAAGAAATATAAGAATGTTGTAGTTCAAGCTTCCCGCTGTAGACTGGTGAGTGATATTGATCCAGCAATTGATAACTGTGATATATAAGTAAAACAAGCACCGTTCTGCTACGATTTAAAACCTTAATCAGTGGCATTAAAATATCAAAAAGTGCAAAAAATCAAAGCACAATATTTTTGCAAATTTCCAGTGCAGAAGAAACAAAGCCACCGTCTTGTAGTTATTGTAGAGTACTTACGATAGAACCTTATGCATTGATCCAATGCAATGCTTGCGCGTTCAAGAAATATCGGCTCGGAAGTAAATGCTGCTGTATAGTGGTATATATTTAAGCGTTTAAGTACAGTGCATTGACCAGAATGGTCGTGTTATGCTTTTCAGATGCAGGGACAGTGTACAGAGTCCACCATATATGATCGTTGATCTGGTCGTTTTGCGCTGTATTAGTTAAAGCTAAAATTTTAATTTTATATTAGTCTAGTAGAGAATTCAAAGTTAAACAACTTTTTTCTCTGCCTTTTCACTATTCAGTGGAAAGCAAAGCGTACATAGGCCAAAACGTGCTTGGACATCGCACATTTCCCATAGACGTCCATGTTACAGAAACTGCTGCAACCCTCTGAAATCGCTCGAAAGAGGCAGACCATATCACACCTCATTAGGGTTCTGCCTTGACCTAATTGCTGGTCGTCGACCACTTTTAATGTGATATTGACGCTTTGATTAGCCATACTCGCAATAATACTCATATACTTCAACAATGGGTGCTGCAACTGAGAGTAATGCGCCCGATAAGACATAAACACAAATGAACGCTTCACACACTCTGCAAATGAAGAAATTGGCATTTGCCATTTGACTAATATAAAATTAAAATTTTAGCTTTAACTAATACAGCGCAAAACGACCAGATCAACGATCATATATGGTGGAATCTGTACGTCCTGCATCTGAAAAGCATAACACGACCATTCTGGTCAATGTTTACGTTAAACGCTTAAATATTACTTAACATTCTACGTTCTAGCCGATAATTTTTCACGCGCTGCATTGCTTGATAATGCATAACGTTCTATTAAATTCTACGTTCTAAAGCTCTGGCTTTGTTTCTTCTGATGGAAATTTCAAAAATATTGTGCTTCTGATTTTTTACTGTACATGCGACATATCGGGTATTAATAAGTAACATAAGGCTGTACTTTATCTTTTATGGATGTTTATCAAAATACGTAGTTTACCATTCACACAATAATTATCACACAATAATTATTACAATAATTATTAATCGACCGGAGCGTAGCGAAGGTTCTCTGTTTCAAGAGTAATACTTTCGTTAATTTCTGTCCGTTACGAAAGGTCGTTACGAAAGGTTGTTACGAAAGCCATTTCCAAAGAGTAGATGGAAGTGTTTTATGTTGCTAAGTCGTTTTGCAAAATAATATTAAATTTTATTATTCCACATAATATATACATATAGTAAAGTACTCTGACAGATCAAATAATTAAGTTTGTAATAAATTATTAAAGTGTACAGTATTATACATGCTATACTCAAAGGAAATGCTGCGCTCCGGTCTGCCAAATGCACGCCAACGTGCATTTTTCCTAGGAATTATTATCTATTCACGCAGTAATTATTATCTATTCACACAATAATTCACACAATAATAATATCTAGTCTCCGTGGTTACAGTTATTACGTTAACTACTTTTTACTGCTGTGTACTGTGCAGTGAATACTTTTTCGAGCACTCTTAACGTTTCCCATACTTAAGACCTGCTGAAACCATCTTCTGACCACTGGTTAATTAAAAAAACGAAAATCTATTGCCAAACCTATGGAAATTACAAAATTTTTTAAGACCAAGCTGGGCCAAAACTGACCACGCGTTGACGAGTCTATAAAAAACGGCGAATAAATACCTTTTGTCGGTAAGATTGTATGAATATCTGTACAAGGTAAGCCTCGCGCTCCGCGCTCGGCAAAAAATGTGAATTGGAAAGGTATGGCTTGAATTTATGGACTGTTACGAGATACAACAGTAGTGTTAACGACAGTAGTCGTCGTAGCGGACAGTGGTGGTAGCTCGGTCACTTACTCACCTACAGATTTCGCTCTCGAGACAATGGTGGTAGCTAGTTCACTCAATTACATACCTTCAGATTTTGCTCATGAGTCATGACAGCTCGGTCACTCACCCTCGTACAGATTTTCCGGCTCAATCGTGGTACCTCGGTCACTTTCTCATCTACAGGTTTTGCTCACGAGACAGTCACTCACTCATTATTATGTTATCGCAAAAATCAAATAGCGTACACTCGACGTACAGTACAAACTACATTAATGCATATTGTCCCAGATCCATGGTTTCAGTTGTCCTTACTTCAAATGTCATACAGTCATACTTACTTAAATTACGGAGTTCTACGCAATGTTGTTGTCAGGCTTCTCAAGTACTTACTGTAAGCACTTAAGTAAAACAACACTGTACTTTGTCTGGATCGTCCCGAAATCTCAGGAAGATGATTTAAGGGATTTGGCCCTGTACATAGCACTAAAATCGTGTACATTAACGGGAATATTCGCTTTCGCGCACTTTCAAACACTTTTTTGGGTTGCTTTATAGTATTTCGTAGCCAGAAAAATTGTATACTTACGTGAGAAAACCGTTTGCGCGCGCAACATCCGGTTGCGAAGTTAGGAGGGTATCAAAATTCCAGAACGTTTAAATGCATTCAGGTGTACCAAAAGTCTCACTATGGACCGATTCTTTCGAGCTTTGCACGTAAATGCACATAACCATGAAGATCGTTTTGACACGGATCCACTGTTCTAGCATGTTTTTCAATTTTTAAAATGAATTTCAAAAATTTTAAAATTCGTTTTAAAATTCTAAAAAAATCGTAAAAGTCTGAATCCGTGTCAAAACGATCTTCATGGTTTCTACCCCTCACTTCTTGCTATGCCCTTCCGAAATTTCTGGATGACCTCGTTTTCTAATCCATAGAGATTCAGGCTTTCTTATACTTAGACGGCTTAGAGAGTTTTCAAACCTGGCAGTTCTAGGGACAACTAAAATTCAGCGCAAATACCTATGGAAAATGAGATTTTTTTCAAGACTAAGCTGGACTTAAACCGACCACGCATTGATTTTTCCATAATAACCCACGGAATTCCGCGTTGCGACGGTAAGATTGTATGAATACAAGTATCGGTCGCGCTAGCGCGCGACCAGTTGTGTTTGAGGTAATGGAGGTGTTGAATAATGAAGTCTTGAATTTCAGAAACAGTTTATTATTTGCACTGTTTTAATCGATTTTTAGTTTTTTATTTTTCCATTTATATTAATTTTTAGGTGTATAAACCTTTAATAATAATAAACCTTTAATAAATATCGGAATCGAAAACAAATTCAGTACCAAAAACAAAGTAGTTGTTGTAACAGAAACACTTCCTCGATGCTATCCTGATCGGGGATCGTACCCATTACACAAATAGCGTTTCCCCGTTGTATTTCGATAGATAATCGCTGCTTTCGCTTAAAAAACTCTTTCGCCCGTTTCTGGCCAGTGGATGTCGCTATACCGTTTCCGACCTTCTCCAATAGCTTCTTAGTTCCGCCTCCCCAAGGTCCGTAAATTTCAATGGCTGCTGCAACGAGATCGTATCGTGGTTGAAGCCAGGCGTGTTTCCTTAGTTTCCTCCTTTCCGCGATCTCAGCTGCTGCACCGACGTTTACCGAAGTACGGTCGATATACGAGGCCGCTAGGGTGTCTAGGTGTTTCTCCATTTATTATTATACTCTATTTAATCTCAATTAATAAATGGTCCTCAGTTCAATATTCGTATGTAACTTATTAGTTATTTTTATACTTTCTATTATTTTAGTACTTTTTTGTTATTCTCCTATTCTAATTATTGCTGGTACAGTGGTACTGGCTGGACATAGCCCACCGGACACCCACCACTCGAGACTCGAGCGACAATAGCCTGCTAAGTGATTACGTCCCCGAACTAGAAAAAGCGTAGAAAGTGATAGTACAGAGGTTAATTCTTCCCTAGCTCTAAAGCTTTACTGCTGTTATTTGTGGTTCCTCCCCAAATTCGTGACGTTTAGCGCAAGACCGCTTCAGCCACGACGATAACTTGCGAAGTTACCGTAAGGCCTGCGCGCTTAGTAAAGCACTGCATATCCGGGTTGAGTGGAGGTGTACGTACGTGCTCTATCCATAAGCGCGATGCGACGGATGCACACTTAACTACCATCGCATTTGCTTTTATTTTTGCGCAACTGTAATTTTAACAGCGTTCAGCGATCAGCCAAAAGAATAAATTAACCTGTCTAGTGTCCAGCGCAATCGCACTATGAGTTCAAAATTTATTATTTTATAGACGATGAAATTTCAGGTTCATTTTTGGGGGAAGGGATAGACGAAGCCGAGGGTGTTTATAGATTTTTACTTATTTATTTTGCTCAATTTACAATGTGCTTTTAGTTATAGACCATAGTTTCAGAATTTAATACTTCAATTCCGGTGACAGACAATTATAGACATTGAAATCCGAAAGTTTTTTTTTTGGGTGTGAGAATATAACCAAGTTATCTGCACAGCAAATGGTTATGCGGTTAAGCAATTCATTTGAATAATGAGAGAATTATAATATAATTTGCTTTAAGATTCTAGCTTTTGCAATCTAGCTTTTGCTTTAAAAATCTAGTTTCTTCTGGGTTTTTATCGATTTTATTTTTTACTATCCTTGATTTAATAGTCATGTGCTTTTAGTTTTAAACCAAAGTCTGCACTACAAACCCAGTTTCTATAATTAAATGTATGTGACGCATAGGTGAACTACGTACCAGCTTTGGTGATCTGGTTGAGTTTCGCTGCTTCGGGTATTGCTAAAGTCTGTGACTGTGACTGGGTGGGACTGGGTGGGACTGTGAGTCTATGTGACTGGGACCTTATGTGACTGTGACCGTCTGTAACTGTGCCAAACTGGGCCTGGGAACAATTGGGACTGTGACCTTTTGGGAGTGGGGCTAGTGGTTGTTGTAATCCGCCAACCAACTGACAGTGCACTTCCGGTCAAATTTTTTAACTGGCTTTTTGTACTAAAAGGCAGTCTATGCAAGATTATTCGGTAAGGCAGTACTTCGTAATGTACACTTTTATCTTGCACACTTCCAAGAAAAATAAAAGCAAGTAGCAGTAATCATAGTTTTTTTATCTTCGGCATGACCCTCCTTCGCTTTTTTAAATGGTTTTGAAGTTCTTTTATCTTGCACACTTGGTCAACTAAAAATACAAGCTACACATATATCACTAGACAAAGTGTGTATCTCTACACAGTATTTTAGCCTGTTTGGGAAAACTTAGTCGTCGATCAAGATGGACGCTACAGAGAGTATGCGGTATCCCTCTGCTGTGTTCTTATCTGTCTGCCTACCACTTTAGGGCACAGGGCGGTATTATTCGTAAGCGGCAAACATCAACAAACAAAAGCCTTTCAAATTCCTAGGCTGTCACACGTAGGTGTAATCTGGTCTTGACCCTCTCGTTTGCTCTGTGAGAGAAGGATTCGAAGTATGCAGGCGACTCAAAGACCGGCTGAAGGAAACACTGGAAGCCAGACAGCGCACCTGTTGTCGGCTTCTTTTCTTTGTCTTCGTATTCGTGAAATGATTCTATCACACTAACGTTTTCGGAAAGTAAACCCAATACTCAACCAGCACGTGGCGCAATCTGCCGCCGATTTCAACGCTTCGCTTTTCCTGCACTATTCAATTTTTATAAATATCTGCGGTAATTCTAATGAACAGTAACTGAATCACTGTCCACTGATACTGTATTGCGCATCCAAATGCGGAGGTCACGATTTAAAACAGTGTAGTCATGCAACATGCGACCCGAAACTTATGAAACGGACGACGACAGCGTTCATGAAAGTCAACCGCCAACGTAAGTACCATTTTCCACGTTGCGTCAGTGTTCTTATATAAGTTGTAATAATAATGGGTGCATTGTTGCAGCAACTAACAGCGTGAACACGCCCGCTTTGAAATCTGCAACTTTTGTAATCTCGGCAGAAACGAAGGAAAAGTTGGATGAAAAGCACAAGCAAGCAATTTTCGCGATTTTTTAGTATTTTTCGTTAACGGTTAGCTTCGTATTTCCGTGAGGTTCGATATTACGCCAGTATTCCTTTGTTATTGATCCAGTTGCAGGTATGGTTTTTTGCTTCTCTTAGATTTTCTTCGTTACGTTATCTTAAAAAACGTGTATTTTCAAAATTTGTTGATAAGAATTAATACATCAGTTCTAAATGATTACTGCACTATTTTTTTGGCAGTATTTCCCTGCGCAGTACCTGCGGTTTTTTTTTCTTCTTGTTCCAGGGGACCAGTGGTTCGGTTTGGTTAGATAGCGGTCATGGTTTGTGTAGCAGTTATGGTTTCTGTTATTTTAGTTTTGAATTTTATTATACTCTGTATGTTATAAGGAAATTAAATGTTCTCTTCGACGAATGCCATGCTATGCATTCTTGGAATTTCTAGAAAGCCTTACGAAGTACTGCCTTACAGAATAAGCTTGAAAGTACTGCCTTTTAACACAAAAAGCCAGTTAAAAAATTTGACCTGAAGTGCCCTGTCAGTTGGTTGGCGGATTGCTACAACCTCAAGCCCCACTCCCAAAAGGTCACAGTCCCAGTCATTCCCAGACCCAGTGTGGCACAGTCACAGACGGTCACAGTCACATAAGGTCCCAGTCACATAGACTCACAGTCCCACCCAGTACCACCCAATCACAGTAACAGACTTTAGTAATACCCTTACAAGCACCCGGTTCAAAGATGTACAGAGTACGGTTATGCGTATGTGAATGCAATGCTGTTTCATATTTTACACTAATAATTTTATTGTCTTAATTCCAACATTTTCTGTGATTGTGTATAACTATTTTCTCTGTATGTTCCTCGAGCGCCGACCAAGTTTATTTTAAGCCCCGCATAATAAAAGAGGAAACTGCTGAATATTTGCATGTTTTCTTTGCAAGTTCCCAGTTAGCTAGAACTTACGGTAAGACGGAAAGTATGCCCCCATGCAAAGAAAACTTGTATGTACTGTAACGTACTTTAGAACTGATGAGCACCGTAAAACCCGATATTAACGCCATGGGCTTTTATTTTTTCGAGAGCTTCGAAAGGGCGCTTAAAACCGCAGGGGCGGTTATTACGGGGTGGGGGGGGCGTCTAATATTTCCAGATGAATAACGCCCCTGTTATTTAAGGTTTAACGAGACTAATATGTACAATGTACGACAAAAAGGAGTTTCTCCAGAATTTTCCTTTCAAATCAATCCTTCAGCTCTTTGGGTTTTAAACAGACAGGAGAAATCCATGCTTATCTTAAAAATAACTGACCTGTCGATAGGAGGAATCCACCGACTAGGATCTTTACCAGATCATTCATCTTCGAACCGGAGAACGACGGGCGGAATGGATAAAAACAACAAACGTCAACTCTTTGAGATTCCAGGAGACTGCACGGATTTCGCAGAGTGACGCAGACACACTTTTTCACAAACCAGAAGTATTAGAGATGTGATTTTAATTCTACGTACTAGGACCAACAAATCATGACCAACACAGTCTTAGCCAATAAACCAAACCGAAGTGATGGAAGTCGCTTAAAGTGGCTGACACTTTCAACTTTCAAGAACCCACAAAAGGATCGACTGATTACAATGCGGCGTCACGGCGGTCTCGATGTGCCAGTGTGAATTCAATGGACTTGGGCTAATAATAGCCTAATACCCAATGGTCACAGCTGCGCACCGAAACCCCGCCTACTGCGAGGTTACTGGGACAGCGGGGGCGCTGCAAGCATTGGTTAAATCACATCGATAATAGAAGTACTTACGAGTAGACATAATTCTGCATGATAATAAAATTAATATAAAGATGAATGCATTAAATATGGATACGATTTTTAATTAATATTGTTGATAATAAATTCCTTCAATTCTTACCAAACCGTTATGGTTGTCACGCCGCTCCGCAATAAAAAGAAGGGACTGAAATACGAGTATCGCTAAAGAGTTTGGTATTGAAAAACTTAGGAGTCAGTTTTCATTTTTGCTCCTTACCGGCGACTTTTATTTTTTCCTCGGACCTTGATGTTGTAAATTTGCTGGAAAGTCAGAAAGCAACAGGTTCCGGCATAAGTGACGCTCAAAGTAATAATCAAGTATTTTGAAGAAATTTTCATTCGTTAGTTTGAAAAACCCGGTTTCTGTTCGCAAAATTTTCGAATTGACTGCGTGAAACTACTGGTGCTGCGCTATAATTCCGTTGTCCAAGTACTGTATTTACACGATATTAAGGGTCAGTGGAGCCTCCGAGTTTACACGATTTTAAGGTTCAGAGGAATCCCCTGGCCTGCCCGGACTATTCGTCGACTCTGTTGATGTTAATGGAACTGATAGCTAGTGTGGGAGGTCCAGGGAATTCCTCTGAACCTTAAAATCGTGTAAACTCGGGGGCTCCACTGACCCTTAATATCGTGTAAATACAGTACATGCACGAATTTATTTACTGCTTTTTGCGATAGTAGTTTATTGCCTCACTGCGAGTGCCTATATTAATTATATACATTATATGACTAACTATGCGTCTATGCCTGACGTACCGTAAGCTGCATCATGCATGAACAACTGATTTATATTATACGATTCTATACTTGTTTTACATACTCGTATAAATACAGTATAATATACCAACGATCAGTCCGCTGATAAGGCTGTATTCTGGAAAGTGAAACTTTTTCAGCAGTTATATTGATATGCATAAGCGTTTTATATTTGCAGCCCCACTACGTAGTACGAGTGCATACCACCTGGTTTGTTGCACGAAAACACGGTGCATATTCGTGAGTTTCCGGTAAGTTGCTGAATCATAAAGGTTAGAACCTTACCGCGTTCAGCAGTTTCACCCACTTCTCACTTCTGCTGCGATGGCAGAGAAAATTTCGGGAAAAACGTGAAATCCGTTGCTCACGAGAATTTCAATAACGAATGGGTCATTTTCTTAGTTGACCGTTTCTGTTGCGCACGTTTCTCAATGCGCCCGAAGTAACTAATTGACAATATGGTGCGCAATACCGGAATGACCATTATATTTGCTCTGACTTTACTGGTGTGGTGCCAGTGGCTTTACCGTCATGTAAGTACAGATCCCACTTGTTGTTATCAAGCCGCTGAAAGTCGTTACCGTAGCGGTACGCACAGCATCATTTTCCGTGTTTTATTCATTTTAAAATAAATTTTTTGATGTAGGTAGATGATTCAGATTGTCATTGCTTGTTGTGTTTACAGATCAATGATTTATACAACAATGCGGGTATGCCTCCTGGATACTTCCAGAATATTTTACTAAAAATCGCAGGCCCGGATAATCCCATTTTGATCCAGTTCCCATTTATGCCAGCAATTTCGACGATGCCGTTAATGCATTGGAAAACGGCGTAAGACGTCCGTTGTATTTTACAAGTTTACGTAACCGTAACTACAAATGTACAGAGATTCCGGAAGGCAGTTCGGGACAAATAAACATAAATAAATTCGTTACAATACGAGGAGAAAGCTAATATCTTCGGTAGCGCATTCAAATTCGTGAGAATCTTCGAACACTGTGACCGTGGGGTGCAAGCAGTGTAACCATCCACGGATGGCTAGCACGTGTAAATGATGGCTGTGTCGCTTTTCTGATGGTGTTAAATTTTTTAATTTTTTCGCTAATTGTAACATACTTGCACAAAGGTGGGATACTTCATACTTTTAAATCAATGTGGGATATTTTTTCATATGTGACTTTTAAAATTTTTTACAGACTTTATGTGTGCCTGTTTCTTTCGCGAACCTGTGTTAGTTTTTTATCGTAAAGTCAGTGTGTAGTCAAAAGCTGGATATTTTGCCCAGAAAGATCCTCCAGTCAGATGCTTTACCTGCTAAAATAATGAATTGATCGCTGTGAGTTTTCCTCTCCCTGGTGATTCTTCAGTGGATGCTGGTGTGGAACGTGGTGTAAGACTGGATTTTCGAGAATGTGGAGGGACGTTAATCTGTGCAGCAACAACGGACGACGCCAGCGCAATGGATAAAGCAGTGAGAGCCGTTGAAAGTAGAGAATTGTCACAGTACGCAGCAGCCCGAGTGTATAGAGTTCCTCGCACGTCACTGTGGGAGCGTCTGAAAGGTGTTCGACGAATGAAGCCAGGCGATCAGGCCCGAAACTTCAGTGCGGCCGAGGAAGACTACATCGAGCAGTTGCTTTTAAAATGCCCAGAACAAGGTGTTCCCTTGAATAAGGCCATTCTTAGGCGAATCATCCCCACATTGGCGTCCACAAAAGGTATGTACACGAACGAGCAATGCATAACTACGAGTATTTTTTGCAGCGCTGGTTTTTCTAAAAACATTCCAGAACCTTCTGCTGTTTTTACTATCTTTGTTGAAACTGCACGTTTTTTTAATGGATTGCATGATTGATATAGATATGCCGGAAAGACGAAAAAAATTTACGGATTTTTGGCATCGCGAGTTTTTGAAGCGCCATCCAAAAATTTCCCAGCGGATTTCACACGGAGTGTCCAGAAAGAAAGCGAGACAGTGGACGCCCACAACGCGTGAAGGATGGATACGGCTCTTGAGCGATCTCCATTGCAGTGGAGGGCTAACTGATCCGCGTGGCATATGGAACTTTGACGAATCAGCATTTCAAGTGGCGGAGAAAGTCATTACTGTTTATGCGCTGCGGGGAACAAAGAACGTTCTCTCTTATTTTGATGGAAACGATAGAGAACTAATTACAGTCCTCGCTGGTGGAAATGCTGCAGGGGAAATATTGCGGACTTTAATTCTGTTTGACGGGAAAGTTTTTTTGACGTCTCATTTCCACGAAACGAGCAACCGCTGCCACATTGGTTTTAATTCTTCGGGAGTTATGGACAATGCCACGTTTACTTCTTACATTCGAGAGGAAGTAATTCCACGCATGACGGCGGAAAAGGTAGACAATAATTTTAAAATTTGCATTTATTCTATAGAAATTCAGATTGATTTTATAAAATCACCAGAAATAAAAAAGTATAACGTAATAATTAATATATATTGCTTTTCAGAACGTAATATTTTTTGACGACCATTTTTCTCATATGTTCAACTTGGAATTTTTTGTCGGAGTGTGTGAAATCTGATAAAGAAATTTCGGTCGTCATACTCCCATCGGGCCAGACTGGTAAACTGCAGCCAATGGATCTGCGGGTTTTTGGACCGTTAAAGAAATATTGGCGGGACTATCTGCGCAAATTAACCCTTACACCGACGGAAGAGGTAAATGCTTTTAACGGTCAAAAATATTTTTAAAATACAATAATGATGTAATTCTTTTCAGCAGTTTCTTAATTTTTTACAGGTAACAAAGCAGAATTTTGCCGCTCATTTTGTGAAGAATTGGGACAATTTCAATATGTCGGCAAACATTGTGTCTGGTTTTGTGGCAAGCGGAATATATCCGTTTAATCCCGAAGCGGTTTGCCAGGCGTACATGGAGCCTGTAGCCGCTCCAGTTTCTGAGGATGTGCCATTGTCAGTCGCTAATGTGTACGTTTCGGAGCTGGAGAAAGTGAGAGTTGCATTGCGCGAAATTCATTTATTAAACGAGGCCGCTGTCGAAAATTGTATTGAGTTTGTTGTGAGACAAGCTGAAGGATTTGTGCCTGCTGTTGTTCCCGAAAAACTTGCTGATGATTGGCATCTAAGCGTTATGGGCGCCCATAATCCCAAGAAACGCAAGCTGAAAGAATCTCGTCTCCATGCCGAAGCAGGCCTTATTGCAACAGATTCCAAAGTTATTGCTGCTTTAGAGCAGCGGGAAAAGGAGAAAGCAGAGAAGATGAAAAAGTCGAAGAAAACGACTGCGCGCGCTCTAACCGACGTTACGAATACACCTCAAAAAAAGCGGTTTAAAATGGCGAAAAAATAAAACATCGGTATTTCTGGGTTGAAATTTTTGTTGTAATTGTCGTTGTGGATATTGTTGTTTTTAATTTTTTATTGAGAAATAGTTTGTAAAATAGGCGCGTTTACGTTAGGGTTACTTAAACGATATTTGAAGCGACCAAAAGTGAAAATTGAAAAATAAATTGAAGTTGATTGCGTATGATGTACAATAGCGCAGTAGCCGCTGTTGACAAGTGCAGCTATCCGCGGCTGACGGTTTAGTTAAGCGGGGACTGCTAACCTCCTACGGTTAACTGTTCTTTGATTCGGCCACGTGCCCAGTGTTCAAAGATTCTCAGGAACTTGAATGCGCTACCGAAGATATTAGCTTTCTCCTCGTATACTGGTGCTTACGGCATGGACGGATCGAGCTACCGATTCCATTGGAGAAAAGGTTTTAGAGTAAATCTGACTACAGATTCAGAATCAGCGAATTTTTTCTGATCTCGAAAATTATTGGAGAAACCCAAAAAAACCAGTGGTTCTCTTCCCCCTTTTGAAGGTACCTCGCTACCCCTTCACGTGGCGGTTGCCGTGTCGCGGAGGGGGAGAATTGTTTTTGAAAGGGGAAAGCGTCGGTTTGGCTTCTCTGCAAAACTAATCTCAGATTCGGAATCAGCGCATTTTCTGTTATAGAAACATTCCGATCTTCGAGGAAAAATTTGTCGCCCCAAAGGGGCATGCATTACCGCCACCTCGGGCGGTCGCAATATTCTCAACAAAGAAATATGCAGTTTCCCACTTTTAGAATTGTTTTTTGGCTAAATCGAGTGCGTGGATTCAGATTCTGTTCTTGAAAAAATTATGAATGTACTCTGTCAACGAATTTGTGACCTTGGCGCCCCTCGGGGGTGACAGATTTTTTTTTCGAAAATTGGACTATGTTTCTATGACAGAAAAATGTGCTGATTCCGAATCTGAGATTAGTTTTGTAGAGAAACCAAAACGACGCCTTCCCTTTTCAAAAACAATTCACCCCCTCCGCGACACGGCAACCGCCACGTGAAGGGATAGCGAGGTACCAAAAGGGGGAATAGAACCACTGGTTTTTTTGGGTTTCTTCAATAATTTTCTAGATCACAAAAATTCGCTGATTCTGAAACTGTTGTCAGATTTACTCTAAAACCTTTTCTCCAATGGAATCGGTAGCTTGATCCGTCCATGGCTTACGGTAATTATTTGTAACACATTTGTTATTATTGTCTTGGACAAGCCTATTCGGGTTTGTTAAGCAGTTGTTATTGGACGGAAACGTTCTCCCAATAATATTTAAATAATCGACCGAAGCGTAGCGAAGGTCTTCAGCGATTATGAAAAATGTGGTGTCCGTCCGTCGGTCTCCGCCAATAATTGCACATATGCGCGGTTGCCTTTGCTATCAAATGCACGCTTGCGCGGCACGTGGCCGTATATACTCACACCTAATGTAACTGTTTGGTGTCCGTCCGTCGGTCACTGCCACACCCGCATCATAAGAGGGGAGGGGCACAGACGTCCGGCTTATGACGGCGGTTTCGAAAAATAGTTTCGAAGCAATCACCCAGGCCATGCATATAAAATGGCATAGCCATCCGTCGCCTTAGAAGAACGTCTTTCGTAGTTCGACCCAAATATGTTGCCTTCGAAGTTTTTTTTTTGCTTGGCGATGACCCGTAGGGTTGTTTCTAAAAAATTCTTTGCTTACCCTTCTTCGCCCAACATTCCTCTACGTCCTCTTCGGCAGCTACTGTAACGTCCGCCGGATCCACGACAGCTGCGCAATCGACTATCGGTTCAGGTACGTCTACCGCGTCGACCACTTCGGCAACAACATTAACGGGCTCCTCCGGGACAGGTTCGACACAGAGTGGTGCACCAGCCACCTCGATTTTCGGTCCGGAAGATTCTCCCACTTCGGCTGCATCATCGACTGCATCCGATGCAACTGCCGCGGTAACACCAGCATGTACATCGGGAATTACAGCAACGTCCCCCAGTGTAGCGGGAAATACCCCTTGGTCGACCACGAGCGCTGAAGCGTCTTCGACGTCGACAGGTGGTATTGGCGCCTCGACGACTGTACCAGCTGGATCATCCGCAACGAGCGCGGCGTCGACCGGCACCTCGGCAAAAGGCAGCCCTTTAACCACTCACACAGGCACGACACCGACAACCGTAACCGCTGCCGCCTCATCTCTGACTTCCGGAGCCGGGGTATCTCCGCCCGGAAATGCATCCGGCGGCTCGACATCGACCACTCCCGGAATGTCGATCAATTCCAGAACGCCGTAGCCCTCATTTTCTGACCTCTTCCGGGAGCATGTCCGCCATAACTGGTACGACACCAGCCAGCAGTACAACGGGCAGATCGGGATCCACAGGGATCAGTGCGCGGTAGCACTACGGCTGGCCCAGTATCCGGTAATCCCACTGGTTTCGTAACAAACCCAACATCGACAACAAGCAACGAAGAAACAATCACCTCCTCGGGTAAACAGCGGATTAACCGGTAATTCCGACAGCACGCCGGTGACCGGCGAAAATTGCGTCACAGCGGGCAGTGGTCCACGGTGTCTTCTGGAACAGGGGCCACTTCATCCGGAAGTACGTCGAATACCAGCGTATCAAGCTCAGTGACCAATCCAGCGTCGACCGTCGTCAGTGGCGCAACTTCCGGAACAGGTTCCACCACCGAAAGCGTATTCGAGGGTGCTTCAACGTTGGTTCCAACCGGTTACACAGATGATAGCGAAAGCACATCGGGTGCAATCAGCACTACGGTGCCATCAACCGGAGGTACGTCTGACGATGGCGTTTCCTGCCACTTACCGGAGATTCCAATGCGTCCGGGGGTTCCACCACTTCCGGCTCCAGCCCAACGGGTGGTGATGAGGGCTGTAGACCACAAGTTGACAACACGTTTGTTCTTCGGCAACCTTCTGGGCTAAATACAATGTTTCTTCTGAGCTTAACTTCGGATTCAGTGCCGTAACTTAACTTTCTCAAGAATGCTGTGGCCGAGGCCAGAACATCCTTGTCTACGCTTTCCTCCTGAGTTAGCGCGTGCTGCCATACTGAAGTTAATTGGAGCACTTCCTGGTACCCATCTGTAATCTACTACTGCATAATTCAGTCGATGGTTAGGCTGCCCCTCCCGGAGCTCATAGGCGCCTTTGTGGTAATTCGGACAGTCCTCAGTTACGTAATATGTACATAATGCTGGCCCCACTGCTTTGTTTGACCCGTTGCTTTTCCAGTTTGCAACACCGTCTAACTTAAAGGTCGATAAATCGTCCATGGGCTTTTTCCGAATCAGAAATATACCAGTGCCTTTAAATCCGATAGGGGCCGCCGTATTTAGAAGCTCTTTGGTCTCTTCCGGATCATCTTGCAACATTCATTCTGCGTTTGCTCAGCTCGCATGCGGATCTAATTTTCTTATTTTTTTTTCTGACTACTTAAAGTTGTATCCGGGTTGCGTTCAAGCATAGAAACCAAGTGTAGGTCACGACGTGACCTTTCGATTTCCACCTTATCTGGAGACTCTCCATCCAGTATGGGAACCAGATCAGCAACCAAGACCCAATCGCGTACGATTCCCCAGTTACTGGAGATTTTCAAGGAAGAAGTGAGCAAGACTGCCAGGCCGAATACATCACAGATAAAAGGGATCTCGACGAACTTGTACCTCTCCTCAGCCGTATTGTGGACCACAACATAGAGCAGCACAACCGTATTCTGGATCTTGAATGTGAAGTAGCCCAGCTGAAGAAACAGAAGGAGCCGGTCAGCACCACCGCAGGGCAGAATGCCACGCCGGCCACAGCCAGCCATGCTCCGCAGCCACATGAACAGCAGATGCGCTCGGTTCCCCAACGCAAAAACCAAAATTCGGCTCCTATGCCGCCTGTGAAGACATATGCCCTAGTTCTGACAGCAGACAAAGAGAAATCAGAAGGAATTTGTGAGATTGAGAAGAAGCTGCCTCAATGCATGCCTGATGCCAGCAGAAGGTTTAACATGGAACAAGTACGGCGTACTAAAAACGACAACATCGTCATCCGCTTCTGGGAGGAAAGGGATCGGGACGCCGCAAAATCCGAATTGGAGAAACACAAGAATGCACTCGGATTCACGGTGAGTGAAACCAGAAAGCGAGTAATGCGAATGATTGTTAAGCGGGTGCCGAAAGATTTGTCAGTAGAGCATTTTCAAAAAATTGTGTCGGATAAGATGTCGCCTGTGCCTGACGTAAAAGTAATAAAGAAGCTCGTCAATAAAGCAGAAGCAGTGAAAACATGCGCTATGATAATAGAAACATCGCAAGAAGGTTGCAGTTTATTAGAGAAAACAGGCAGCATTAAGTTTGATTTCTGCGTGTGTCCAGTCAAACGATACGTAACACGGTGTTTTAACTGTAATGAAAATGGTCATGTAGCTAAATTTTGCAAAATGGCGGATCGGCGAGCAATGGTTAGAGATCCCGAAACAGCCGGTTCAAAAAACCCGGGAGTCTAAACATTGGCAAAATACCCCTGCGTGTTTTGACTATTAATCAAAACAATTTCCGAAATATTAAGGTCCGATGTTGCAACATTAATAGCATTTTTTCAAAAAAAGAAGTGGTTAAACAGTTTTGTTCTGAATCGGATGTTACAGCTTTGACGGAAAAATTGGACAAAGATATTTACACAGACAGTTTTTTTGCTGACCTCCGTAAATTTAACGTATTTCGCCGGTGGCGAAAATCATCGGACAGCCACGGTGGCGTTGCTTTAATTTTGTCGAAAAAACTAAAAAGTTTTAGACGTACAGACCTTGATAGAGAAGATCTTGAAATTCTGTTCGTAGAATCGCCTGTGTTGGATTGCTTATTCGGTGTTGTTTACATACGACCGTCAAAAAAAGCTGTGCTAATTCCTTTACTTGTTGAATATTTGCAGGATTTTTCTGTTGAGTTACGTAATAAACTTGTTTTAATGGGTGACTTTAATTTGCCGGATATATGTTGGACTA